AGATATAGTCATGCAAACCCTAACATTGTGAACATGTAGATATAGCCATGCAAACCCTAACATTGTGAACATGTAGATATAGTCATGCAAACCCTAACATTGTGAACATGTAGATATAGTCATGCAAACCCTAACATTGTGAACATGTAGATATAGTCATGCAAACCCTAACATTGTGAACATGTAGATATAGCCATGCAAACCCTAACATTTGTGAACATGTAGATATAGTCATGCAAACCCTAACATTGTGAACATGTAGATATAGTCATGCAAACCCTAACATTGTGAACATGTAGATATAGTCATGCAAACCCTAACATTGTGAACATGTAGATATAGTCATGCAAACCCTAACATTGTGAACATGTAGATATAGTCATGCAAACCCTAACATTGTGAACATGTAGATATAGTCATGCAAACCCTAACATTGTGAACATGTAGATATAGTCATGCAAACCCTAACATTGTGAACATGTAGATATAGTCATGCAAACCCTAACATTGTGAACATGTAGATATAGTCATGCAAACCCTAACATTGTGAACATGTAGATATAGTCATGCAAACCCTAACATAACATTGTGAACATGTAGATATAGTCATGCAAACCCTAACATTGTGAACATGTAGATATAGTCATGCAAACCCTAACATTGTGAACATGTAGATATAGCCATGCAAACCCTAACATTGTGAACATGTAGATATAGTCATGCAAACCCTAACATTGTGAACATGTAGATACAGCCATGCAAACCCTAACATTGTGAACATGTAGATATAGTCATGCAAACCCTAACATTGTGAACATGTAGATATAGTCATGCAAACCCTAACATTGTGAACATGTAGATATAGCCATGCAAACCCTAACATTGTGAACATGTAGATATAGTCATGCAAACCCTAACATTGTGAACATGTAGATATAGTCATGCAAACCCTAACATTGTGAACATGTAGATATAGTCATGCAAACCCTAACATTGTGAACATGTAGATATAGTCATGCAAACCCTAACATTGTGAACATGTAGATATAGCCATGCAAACCCTAACATTGTGAACATGTAGATATAGTCATGCAAACCCTAACATTGTGAACATGTAGATATAGCCATGCAAACCCTAACATTGTGAACATGTAGATATAGCCATGCAAACCCTAACATTGTGAACATGTAGATATAGTCATGCAAACCCTAACATTGTGAACATGTAACATGCAAACCCTAACATTGTGAACATGTATATAGTCATGCAAACCCTAACATTGTGAACATGTAGATATAGCCATGCAAACCCTAACATTGTGAACATGTAGATATAGTCATGCAAACCCTAACATTGTGAACATGTAGATATAGCCATGCAAACCCTAACATTGTGAACATGTAGATATAGTCATGCAAACCCTAACATTGTGAACATGTAGATATAGTCATGCAAACCCTAACATTGTGAACATGTAGATATAGTCATGCAAACCCTAACATTGTGAACATGTAGATATAGTCATGCAAACCCTAACATTGTGAACATGTAGATATAGTCATGCAAACCCTAACATTGTGAACATGTAGATATAGTCATGCAAACCCTAACATTGTGAACATGTAGATATAGCCATGCAAACCCTAACATTGTGAACATGTAGATATAGTCATGCAAACCCTAACATTGTGAACATGTAGATATAGTCATGCAAACCCTAACATTGTGAACATGTAGATATAGTCATGCAAACCCTAACATTGTGAACATGTAGATATAGTCATGCAAACCCTAACATTGTGAACATGTAGATATAGTCATGCAAACCCTAACATTGTGAACATGTAGATATAGTCATGCAAACCCTAACATTGTGAACATGTAGATATAGTCATGCAAACCCTAACATTGTGAACATGTAGATATAGTCATGCAAACCCTAACATTGTGTAGACATGTCATGCAGACCCTAACATTGTGAACATAGATATAGCATGCAAACCCTAACATTGTGAACATGTAGATATAGTCATGCAAACCCTAACATTGTGAACATGTAGATATAGTCATGCAAACCCTAACATTGTGAACATGTAGATATAGTCATGCAAACCCTAACATTGTGAACATGTAGAGATATGCAAAACCCTAACATGCAAACCCTAACATTGTGAACATGTAGATATATCATGCAAATGCAAACATTGTAACATGTAGATTGTGCAAACCCTAACAACATGTAGATATAGTCATGCAAACCCTAACATTGTGAACATGTAGATATAGCCATGCAAACCCTAACATTGTGAACATGTAGATATAGTCATGCAAACCCTAACATTGTGAACATGTAGATATAGCCATGCAAACCCTAACATTGTGAACATGTAGATATAGCCATGCAAACCCTAACATTGTGAACATGTAGATATAGCCATGCAAACCCTAACATTGTGAACATGTAGATATAGACCCTAACATTGTGAACATGATATAGCCATGCAAACCCTAACATTGTGAACATGTAGATATAGTCATGCAAACCCTAACATTGTGAACATGTAGATATAGTCATGCAAACCCTAACATTGTGAACATGTAGATATAGTCATGCAAACCCTAACATTGTGAACATGTAGATATAGTCATGCAAACCCTAACATTGTGAACATGTAGATATAGTCATGCAAACCCTAACATTGTGAACATGTTGATATAGTCATGCAAACCCTAACATTGTGAACATGTAGATATAGTCATGCAAACCCTAACATTGTGAACATGTAGATATAGTCATGCAAACCCTAACATTGTGAACATGTAGATATAGTCATGCAAACCCTAACATTGTGAACATGTAGATATAGTCATGCAAACCCTAACATTGTGAACACGTAGATATAGTCATGCAAACCCTAACATTGTGAACATGTAGATATAGTCATGCAAACTAGCAGGGAAGGCGTGGTTCCAGATGAAGTAGGCTGGTTTCCAATACATACCCTTTCTGAACTTCAACGGTCAGCTAGAAAACTCTCTCTTAATGGTAGGGTTCAAGATCTTTATTGTACGGACATATAAGGATTTCAATAGTAAAGAAAAGGTGGGCGAAATACGTGTGTGTCCGTTAGATAGGAGAGGAGCTACATAGAGATTACACGGCGCCAAACAAGTCATGATCTTCACAAGTTGTTTCCAATGGAACTCCCACCTTGGTCGTGACGAGCGAGCACCTCAACCAGGGCACTACCTGACCGGTTATAAACGTCAGTGACAAAAGTACTGTCGGAAATAAAATACCCCCTGTTTTTAGGCTGCTACTCTGTATCCCTGAAATTTACACAACTGCAAATAGCATATGTCGAAATAACCCACTTCGGCCTGACTTGGCATTCAGTGGGATGCGTAATAGAATATCCAGAAAAGCATGTTTACTCGTAAAATCGGGCAAAACTTAGCAAACATACGAATAGCTGCTGAAAACAATAGATCAGACTATAGATGGCAATTAGGTCGCTCAGCCAGGTATGACGACGGACCGTCGACTCACCTGGCATGAAATGCACGTGCTGCCTACAGGCACAAGGGGTCATCTCAAAGATATTTTGTGCTTTGTCATGTGTGTTGACTATGTCTCATCTACTTATTAACATCTTACGTGTCTTTCTTTCATAAAGTTTATGTTGAGATATGTAAAAAAGTATGATACCTTATAACCATAGAAACGCATCGGAGTAAATGTCTCAAAATATATAGGTGGCATGACCACCCGAAGATCACATGCCGTGTACCTCCCCAATATAATTGCCCTAAAGGATTATCTTATCTTAGCTGATATCTCTGTTCCCCAGCCCCACCCCAACCACCGTCTGCGACACCCGTCCAGGTTTTGCTTTTGAGACGACCCCTCCTAATTATTGTTTCTTTTTATAGTGACCGTCAAAGTCAAGTCAAGTCAAAAAGGTTTATTGTACAGAATGCCTCTGGCCCATATACAAGAGAGTATGTATACCTCATACTGTTACACACAGGAAGTAACACGTTCTTTAAACAGTTCATTTCTTTTTACTAGTGCATGTTTAATATATAGTGAAAGGTTTAAATTATGGGATTCGATCTTAGTCGTTAAAATATATACGAAAGCTTTCAATGGCGGCATCCGTAACAAATAATCTTTAATATATTTCTTTCGAAGGTCACTATAAAATGGACAGACGAAGACAAAGTGAATTTCATGTTCTATTTCTATATCGCATAACTGACAGATTCGTTTCGATTTTGCAATGGAATGTTTTCTTCCTTCATTTACAAAAAGGTCTAACAAACCTAACCGATATTTGATAAAATGTTTCCTTAAATTTTCTGTTGTGAGTATTGATAAATACATTTCTGGTTGAAGTATGGTCTTGAAAGTTCTATAATAAGCATATCGTGAACTATCTTCTAAAGTGGAATGCCATGCTTGGTGAAACATAGTAACAGACCGAGTTCTAAATTCATTAAGAAACATGTCTACACTTACAACTGACTGACATCGCCATATGATACCATAACCATGGCAAAATAGAAGATTCCTTATATGCGATACCCATGTAATTTTCTCCATGTTATCTAAATGTAAAAGCATGTTATAAGCTATTTTGGGGAGACGTTGCTCGTGCATATGAAGAAGTTTGAACCATTATTTTAAACATCTAATTTGGGAATTAATATATAATGGGTATCTACCACATTCAACATATACCATGCAATTTGGTGTAGAGGATCCAACACAAAGAAACTTTTGACATGCTAATAAGTGGACCTTCTCCAAACATTCATACCGCTGAAATCCCCATACTTCCGAGCCATATAATAAAATTGGTTGTATCTGGGTATCAAAGAACTTAAAGAATATGTTAGGTGACATGGCTCCAACTTTCTGGACAATATACATTACACTTATTAAAGCTTTCTTTGCATGCAATGATAAATCTTTGGTACATTGGTTCATTGTTTGTGAAAACCAGATTCCTAAATATGAATAATGATCCACTACATTGACTAACTGACCATCAAATAACCATATTTCTTTCAGCGCTATTGGACCACCTTTCCTGAAGATCACAATTTTAGTTTTTTTCTAGATTTACTAATAATTTCCAATCTTTTGTGTATGCATTTAGAATATTTAGTTGTCGTTGATGACCGACCACAGTATTTGACACTAAAATGACATCGTCTGCGAAAAGTAACATCAAAACTTCTATTAGGTCTTGAAACGTTTGGATACCATGTTTACCATTTGAAGCTATTTCAATATATAATTCATTTATGAAAAGTGAAAATAAGACAGGACTCAGAATACAGCCTTGTCTTAAACCCAAAGGACAATCAAAGAAATCTGTTTCACCCTCCCTGCTACGAACACATGACCTCACATTACAATATATTGCTTTTATAAAGCAAACATTTTCCCCCGTAGTCCAGCTTTCCGAAGACATTTCAATAGCTTAGAGCGGTCAACCGAATCAAAAGCTTTTTTGAAATCTACAAATGCTACAAACAATTTATGCTTTCGGCGTGACAAAGTCTTTTGGATAAGTGCATGACGAGTAAATATATGATCTGATGTTGAATAATTCTTTCTAAAGCCAGCTTGAAATTCAGGAATTTTATCACGCATGTTCGCCCATTTAGAAATTCTATTATTTAGTATTGTTGTAATCACTTTTCCAAGGATGCTCATCAAAGAAATACCCCTGTAGTTGTCTGGGTCATTCCGGTCACCTTTTTTATGCAGTGGAATTATTATAGAACATGACCAGCTGTTTGGGAAAATACCTTTCTCAAATAGCTTATTAAAGCATTTGCTTAGAAAAGGCATAACTACAAACCTGGAACACTTCAATATTTCAATAATTATGTCGTCTGAGCCTGCTGCTTTTCCCTTTTTTAGGTGATCTATTGCACCAAATATTTCGCTTTCAACAATGGGTGAATCTAGCACAAGTTCATCAACATCAGTATAGCATTCAGTAAAATCATTTTGCATGTCATCAATTTCCATGGCTAATATTGTTTCCTCCAGAAAGCCGACTCAGACACTGTACACGGATTCTGTCCCGCAATTGTCTCCCTTCTCCAACTCTACAATCTCGGACACTACTTCATTGCTTTCATTCAAGGTCTACCAATACCAAGCAAGCAATCGTGGAAAAAACTCATCACAGAACGAGTAAACCTCAAGTATACAACTGAGTGGAAACAGCGTATAACCTTCGACGATGACTTCCAACGATTTAAGTCTCTCCACATGAAGCTTTCACCATGCCTCCCATGGACACTAGCCGGAAACAGACAACACGTCAAGGCCTTCCACTTTCTAGCTCAGATGTGGATTGCAGTGCCTCAGTCCAGTGAAACGATCTGTGCCCTGTGCAAGCTCTTGTACACGGACCTGCTCCATCATGTCTCTAGCGGATGCCCAGCACTATATGCCATCTACGACCAATTCTGGAACAACACGCTGGATTTTTTACCCCTGAAGCTACATGTACATCTCCACAACTGTGACGACGAGACATTACTGCAGTTGCTCATGGGTCGTCCACAGAGTGTGTGCACTGATGCAGAGGTGCTCCTCCACTTTCACAAACTCTCCGCTGTTTTCCTCATGTCTGCAATGTCCGCATACCAGCGCCTCATCACTATACAAAGTATGACCAGCAACTGACAGTCAAGTCACTCCAAATCAACATTCATGCTAGTTTACTAATATCAAACTTTCAGTAAATTAACACCTCTTACTTTCGTTGTACATACTCCCACTGTCAATTGATGTAATCAACATCTGATCTCCAATCCAAGGAGGAAATAAATATGATGATGATCATGAACTTTGAATTTCCGACAACAATTCTTATATTTATTCCTACTTTCGCAATATTTCTTTCGGTCAAGACTAACACGAGTTATTCTAAAACTTTTTAGAATGAATCTGGCGGACAATACAATATGTTCTTTGTGTAATGATTCTGTTGAAACTTAATGCCATGTATATTGGGAATGTGATGAAACCAAAACTTTCTGGAAGAAACTTGAACAGTGGATTACGAAACGTATCCAAACACTTAATTTGACAAAATCTTTGATTTGGTTTGGGGGTTTTTAGGTAAGAACCCATTATTGAACCACATAATCTTATCTGCTAAGAGATATATTTACACTTGCTCTTTGACAAAAACAATTCCAAAAGTTGATAATTACTTAAGGATATTGAAAGACATATTTACCACTGATTCATTCATCGCCAGAAGAAATAATAATGTTGAAAACTTTTTAGTCAAATGGTTTCCTCTCATCCCTGAATTTAACCCTGAATGACTATTACAAAAAGAACATATCACTAACATTGATATTCAATGCACTTAGTGTACTATATCGCTATTGAGCCCACTAGCTTGTATGTGCACACATTCCTCTATATGCTTGTACTCATCATGTTTTTGTACTCATCACATTGGGAACAATAAATAAAAGAAAAAAAAAAAAAAAATCTTCGTAGTGCTTTGCTTTCCGTCTTGCAGTTCTGCATTCAGCATTAAGTGAGGTCTTTTTATTTGTTATATTTTAATTCTTTTCTCATACAAGATGATGAATCCAGCATTATTTGAACAAAATCATCAATTGCCCCCTCAATGTTATTATCAAGTTTATCGAAGAGTAGGTGTGTAATAGACCGTTAGACTCCATGGTAGCTACATCCTTAAAAGTTTCAGCATGAAAGTTATTACTTTTTTACGTCAGCTATTGTTTATAATGAAGCTACGTCTAATTTCAAATTGAGCATTTAAAACGTGTCCTTTGTAATACAATATCGTCGCACACTAAATTGCATAAAGCCATGGTCTGTTCCAAATAAGTCGTTTTGGACCCGCAATGCTCATTTCTGCACTAATCTCTCCTCAGTAAAATTCATTTTTTACGTTTCCCATCTCCCTACCACTGAGACTGTAGTTAGGCCGAACGTAGTTTAACAGATATTTCACACTTTCAAATATCAACTACATAAATTGTAGAGATAAATGAGAAAATACAGTATTTTTTCTATTTCCGACAGTACTTTAGACACATGGATTCCCAACTGTTACATCACAGCTCCTGTATAAGACCAGTCTGGCCGTCTGTAAGGCCTTTTCAAAGGTCATGCGATTATTCACACGGGAATATGTATAAAGTTGTGTTTTTATCGGATATTCGTAGCACTTTAGTAAAATCTTCATCAGAGGTAGAGTTGCGTCAAATCACAAAAGCTTGATAAGGATAGATTTCATTCAACGACAACGTGTCTACATTCAACCCTCCAAGTCAACCCCCAGTGTAGCCACACGGTCCGGGTGAGAACACATGTTTTCTTGTCAAGCGCTAATGCACGGTGGTGTGTTATTGCAAGGTTCAACATACACGGCATCACTGTCTTCTCGGACGAAAGTGTCATGATTTGAAATGCCCCGACTTGACGCCCTAGTCTGAGATCGTCTCACACTTGTAAACAGCCAATGCTTGTTTCTCAGTGCCTGGTTGTGAAGCCGCTCACGTGTAGGTTTTATTAAAAATGCATGGCTGACCAAACATTGTCAGGCCAGCTGACTTGATCAACATCTGTAATGTGGTGATGGCCGCTCGGCCGTGTGCATAATGGATAGTAGGTTTGCTCTTCCTTTCGTGAACAAAACCCCAGGAGTTTAAGTGGTATATGATTTAATAGCTGGACACCAGGTTCTCTTCGGTGTAGGATGTAAAAGCTGGACACTAGGTTCTGTCCGATGTAGGATGTAATAGCTCGACACCAGGTTCTGTCCTATGTAGGATGTTATAGGTGGACATCAGGTTCTGTCCGATGTAGGATGTAATAGCTGGACACCAGGTTCAGCCCGGTGTAGGATGTAATAGCTGGACAACAGGTTCTGTCCGGTGTAGGATGTAATAGCTGGACACCAGGTTCAGCCCGGTGTAGGATGTAATAGCTGGACAACAGGTCCTGTCCGATGTAGGATGTAATAGCTGGACACCAGGTTCTGCCCGGTGTAGGATTTAATAGCTGGACGTAGGATGTAATTGCTGGACAACAGGTTCTACCCGGTGTAAGAAGTAATAGCTGGACACCAGGTTCAGCCCGAAGTAGGATGTAATAGCTGGACACCAGGTTCTGTCCGATGTAGGATGTAATAGCTGGACACCAGGTTCTGCCCGGTGTAGGATGTAATAGCTGGACACCAGGTTCAGCCCGAAGTAGGATGTAATAGCTAGGATGTAACACTGGACACAGGTTCTGTCCGATGTAGGATGTAATAGCTGGACACCAGGTTCTGTCCGGTGTAGGATGTAATAGCTGGACACCAGGTTCTGTCCGGTGTAGGATGATGTAATAGCTGGATGTAGGTTCTGTCCGATGTAGGATGTAATAGCTGGACACCAGGTTCTGCCCGATGTAGGATGTAATAGCTGGACACAAGGTTCTGTCCGATGTAGGATGTAAAAGCTGGAGGTAGGATGTAATTGCTGGACACCAAGTTCTGTCCGATGTAGGATGTAATAGCTGGACACCAGGTTCTCTGTCCGATGTAGGATGTAATAGCTGGACACCAGGTTCTGTCCGATGTAGGATGTAATAGCTGGACACCAGGTTCTGTCCGGATGTAGGATGTAAATAGCTGGACACCAGGTGGACACCAGGTTCCGATGTAGGATGTAATAGCTGGACACCAGGTTCTGTCCGATGTAGGATGTAATAGCTGGACACCAGGTTCTCCCTGATGTAGGATGTAATAGCTGGACACCAGGTTCTGTCCGGTGTAGGATGTAATAGCTGGACACCAGGTTCTGTCCGATGTAGGATGTAATAGCTGGACACCAGGTTCTGTCCGATGTAGGATGTAATAGCTGGACACCAGGTTCAGCCCGATGTAGGATGTAATAGCTGGACACCAGGTTCTGTCCGATGTAGGATGTAATAGCTGGACACCAGGTTCTGTCCGGTGTAGGATGTAATAGCTGGACACCAGGTTCTGTCCGATGTAGGATGTAATAGCTGGACACCAGGTTCTGTCCGATGTAGGATGTAATAGCTGGACACCAGGTTCTGCCCGATGTAGGATGTAATAGCTGGACACCAGGTTCTGTCCGATGTAGGATGTAATAGCTGGACACCAGGTTCTGTCCGGTGTAGGATGTAATAGCTGGACACCAGGTGTCCGATGTAGGATGTAATAGCTGGACACCAGGTTCTGTCCGGATGTAGGATGTAATAGCTGGACACCAGGTTCTGTCCGATGTAGGATGTAATAGCTGGACACCAGGGTTCTGTCCGATGTAGGATGTAATAGCTGGACACCAGGTTCTGTCCGATGTAGGATGTAATAGCTGGACACCAGGTTCTGTCCGATGTAGGATGTAATAGCTGGACACCAGGTTCTGTCCGATGTAGGATGTAATAGCTGGACACCAGGTTCTGTCCGATGTAGGATGTAATAGCTGGACACCAGGTTCTGTCCGATGTAGGATGTAATAGCTGGACACCAGGTTCTGTCCGGTGTAGGATGTAATAGCTGGACACCAGGTTCTGTCCGATGTAGGATGTAATAGCTGGACACCAGGTTCTGTCCGATGTAGGATGTAATAGCTGGACACCAGGTTCTGTCCGATGTAGGATGTAAAAGCTGGAGGTAGGATGTAATTGCTGGACACCAGGTTCTGTCCGATGTAGGATGTAATAGCTGGACACCAGGTTCTGTCCGATGTAGGATGTAATAGCTGGACACCAGGTTCTGTCCGATGTAGGATGTAATAGCTGGACACCAGGTTCTGGATGTAGGATGTAATAGCTGGACACCAGGTTCTGTCCGATGTAGGATGTAATAGCTGGACACCAGGTTCTGTCCGATGTAGGATGTAATAGCTGGACACCAGGTTCTGTCCGGTGTAGGATGTAATAGCTGGACACCAGGTTCTGTCCGATGTAGGATGTAATAGCTGGACACCAGGTTCTGTCCGGTGTAGGATGTAATAGCTGGACACCAGGTTCTGTCCGATGTAGGATGTAATAGCTGGACACCAGGTTCTGTCCGATGTAGGATGTAATAGCTGGACACCAGGTTCTGTCCGATGTAGGATGTAATAGCTGGACACCAGGTTCTGTGTCCGATGTAGGATGTAATAGCTGGACACCAGGTTCTGTCCGATGTAGGATGTAATAGCTGGACACCAGGTTCTGTCCGATGTAGGATGTAATAGCTGGACACCAGGTTCTGTCCGGTGTAGGATGTAATAGCTGGATGTAGGATGTAATTGCTGGACACCAGGTTCTGTCCGATGTAGGATGTAATAGCTGGACACCAGGTTCTGTCCGATGTAGGATGTAATAGCTGGACACCAGGTTCTGTCCGATGTAGGATGTAATAGCTGGACACCAGGTTCTGTCCGATGTAGGATGTAATAGCTGGACACCAGGTTCTGTCCGATGTAGGATGTAATAGCTGGACACCAGGTTCTGTCCGGTGTAGGATGTAATAGCTGGACACCAGGTTCTGGTCCGGATGTAGGATGTAATAGCTGGACACCAGGTTCTGTCCGATGTAGGATGTAATAGCTGGACACCAGGTTCTGTCCGATGTAGGATGTAATAGCTGGACACCAGGTTCTGTCCGATGTAGGATGTAATAGCTGGACACCAGGTTCTGTCCGATGTAGGATGTAATAGCTGGACACCAGGTTCTGTCCGGTTGTAGGATGTAATAGCTGGACACCAGGTTCTGTCCGTATGTAGGATGTAGGTTTTGTAGCTGGACACCAGGTTCTGTCCGATGTAGGATGTAATAGCTGGACACCAGGTTCAGCCCGATGTAGGATGTAATAACCTGGACACCAGGTTCTGTCCGGTGTAGGATGTAATAGCTGGACACCAGGTTCTGTCCGGTGTAGGATGTAATAGCTGGGACTGCCTAATGTAGGGTTCTGTCCGATGTAGTAGGATGATGTACCAGATAATACTTCATGGAGTGAGCTGGACACCAGGTTCGGGGTCCAGAAATGGGCTTAGGATGTAATAGCTGGGACACCCAGGTCTTCTGTGTGACGAGCGATGTAGGGATGCCCCTACTTTAGGATGGACACCAGGTTGTCTTCCACATATGTAGGATACCAGTAGCGTGGACAGGTTTCGACTCTGCCTACTACAGCAGATACAGGATGTAATAGCTGAACATCAGGAACGTCTTAGCATGTAGCAAACGTACATTTATTCCATAAGTGACCTGTTCTAGATATCGCCCTGGGTGATCGGATAGAACGCCCCCTTCCATAATTGAAAGGTGGTATTCAACATTATGACAAAACAGAGACGTAATGAAATTTAAATGTTCAAACTCTGTGGAACAGTAAGTGACCCTCCATCACATCAAATTCCGATCGTCGACATCAGTGTGATAACTGAATCCTATAAACTACATGTGTACATTTCACAGTCGGAAAGAAATTCACTTTACACTTGACATTACGACACTGACAATCTTCACGCGATGATGGACAAACAGAAAACACATGTTGTTCAATTAGTCAAGGCATCGTGCCGGCAACCCACAACCTGATAAATCCTTACGCAATCGATCTGCTTTCTGTCTCGTTTGGAGACCTAACAACAAGCACAGAGACACATCCACTGGCGTTAAGTGCGACTACACCCCGGTGGTTTGAAAGCCCCTGGGTACAAAATACCAGCAAGTGAACACTTTCCTAAATGTAATGTTATGTTTTATAGTGGTTTAATGTTGCACGCTGCAGCCACACATATTTTGCTGTTACAACCGAGAGCGTCCCTGTACCAAAGACGTTGGCGTTTAAATTGTTCCGGAAAATAATTCAATGGCTTTTATGGAAGTTCCGTGTTTTAGGATGTTTGATGGTGGGTGTAAATCGTTATAGTTAATTGTTCTGAGTAAGGATAGTACAGTATTACCTGATGACAATATGCATCATGTGTGGCAGGTGTTAAACTGTAACCGTTCCAAGCATATCCACCAACGTCAATCTGATTCAGCAGCCCCATTGTGTGGATGTGGTAACACCAAGGTAGATGTCACGATGTTGGGGATTAGAAGCGTGTTGGCTTGAGTTGACAGGGACTGTAGACTGTTTACCAGGGTGTTGGTTTTCTTAGTGAACACAAGTAAACGCTGTTCCTGTTCATAGAAAAGTCCACACGATGAATCGAAAGTACACCGCCATCGACATATAACGATTAACGTACACCAACATTGATGTGTCCGCCTACACTGCACGGAATCTATTACGGCAGATATTCCAGGCTAATTATTGTTTGAAGCTGATGTTTGAGTAGTAAAAGCCGGGTGTCAAAACTGGTGTCAGAACGTATCCATTACAGGAGATACACCAGCGAGTCAACATGTCCTTCACCAGCTGAGTTGCTGGATATGTTCTCAGAAGACGCTGAATGTTGACTGGCTGTTGTTCTAAAAGTGCAAGCATCTGGTGGAAGACCATATGCCGAGTCGCAACACTTAGTGAAACACCAGGACAGCACAATTCTGTCTTCTGCGTATATTTGCCAAGTACTCGATATCAACACATGATAAGGATTTCTTTCTTTAAATCTGTGTGGTTTTATGACGTGTTTTACAAGAAAATGTTCTTGTCAGTTCAAATAATACCGATCACAAACAGAATTTCGGAATCACAAGTTAGCTGACGAAGAGAAGGTTAGTAATTACCATTGCGTTAATTAATTGTTCTTTTAGTCACCGGCTTACAGTCGCCCTCCATGATACAAGATACCAGGAGGGTGACATCATACTTGAGACAGTTAGTAAGTTCAATAATTTGAAGGGTTGTGTTCAGGCTAACTTGAATATTTGAGATGTGGTTGGGTGAGGTGATATGATTCAAGGGTGCTTGCAATAGTTTTTCGCTGACTGGTACATCGAAACCAGTAGGGTTGATAGACAAACATGTTCCACCTACTATTAAAGTATTAGAAATACTTAAAGTATCTGTCCTTTAATAATTTCGGTTTAAAAACTACCAATATTATTACCTTTCTAGAGCTTTTAACAAGTAGCCTAGCACTCGTGAAGATCAAGGTTAGAATTGATCTTCAGTAGCCCATGCTTGTCGTAAGAGGCGACTAACGGGATCGGGTGGTGAGACTCACTGACTTGGTTGACACGTGTCATTGTATCCCAAATGATCGATGCTCATGCTGTTGATCACTGGATTGTCTGGTCCAGCTTCCATTCTTTACAGACCGCCGCCATATAGCTGGAATATTGCTAAACGCAGCGTAAAACTAAACTCACTCTCTACAATAAACCTAAGTTAATGCTTTTTTTTAAAGAAAATGATTGGCATGTTTTTCATTAAAAATGTGGGCTATATATCCAGTTTATGTGAATCACTTACAAATTTTTCATTAAGATTTCAGTCCGTTTTTTTAAATGTTGCTGAGTTTTCAAATCAGATACAAAATACCAGTTATACTGTAAATATTTCCTTGGGTTCACTCTGCTCACATAATAGCATGTAGTTGCCAGTCCAAGTTAAAGGAGAACAACCTTGTCCTTCAATCGCCTTTTGAAATTGTTTTAAAATTAATAGCAGAGAAAATATTAATGGTATCATATTTTTCTAATCTATCATTCTGGCTTATGTGTCTTCACGTTCTATTACATCTTGATACAGAATGACCCATTCATCACCAAGGTTAGTATCTGACACGACCGCAGTGCATATAGTTCTATGGGCTAATTATGGGAGCAGAATCACCTCAGTCCTCCTCCTCATCTCTTTTAGTTGGAGCTTTTAGCTGTCATTTTAATCCTTTATCTATTAGGCTAACTATAGCCTCATCTAGTTAGAGTTTTATAAAAGATATAACCTTTCTTTTCCATTTTGCTACTTCAATCTATTGTAAAAAAGGGAAGATAACTCTCATTTACTTGTTTCCAGTGTGCTGGTGTGTCCAAAGTCAAAGTGAAGTTAAGTAAGTTAAGTATAGAATGAAACTGTTCATTTAGAGATGGTACATCAGATCCCTCTAACCTGTTACACCAACACTTAATAATTCAGCTCTAACTGATGCGAGCAAAACATGCATTTCATCTTCTATAGTGTTAACACAGTTAAAACAAAATCTATTATAAAAATTCAGGTTCTCATAAGGCCCTGTTTCAACCCTCAGAGGCGCTACCCCACACGTGAACTTAGCAAGGGCGGTCCTATGTGATCTGTGTAGAGAACAGGTGAGGTAGCTCTCAGCTTGGTTTTACCCTTTGAACTGTCTATAATGTCTAAGTTTGCTAAGACCTGTAGATGAACTATTGTGACGAGTATTGCCATTCAGCTTCTCTCTTCAGTTCGATGTATAGTTGTTAAACGATATACTTGCGACAGTTTTTCATAAAAGGCGGCTTTCTAATGATTCACAGGCAGTTAAATGTCCCATTCCAGTGACTTCAAACTTTTCTCTAACTCGTCAACACTTTCTATCTGTTCATATTCTTCGACCAAAAAATACCCGTTTATTCATCCGTCATTTACTCATGTTGTCTAACCGTGTTTATGTTCTAGTTACTGTTGTCTACTGTCGCACCACTGAGGGGTGGGGTGGGGGATGGTGGTATCCAGCCGTTAACACTGAGGTTGGGGGTGTATTTCCAACGCCCATGACGAATCTTATAACTGTGTGATGAAGGGCGTTGACCGCGGTGTGTTTCCCATATCCCCACCATTATAGTCTAGTGGGTTCGACTAGGCAGCGTTTCCTGGGAGAAGTCCCATTCGCTGTCTGGGCTGCGTGTAGAGGGAGCAAGGGCCCTGAGCTGATGATGAGCCTTACCAGCCTGACTGTGCCAGGATCACCCGAACCCTCTCTGCTGCATACAATTTTTAATCTGTAAAACATAATAATAATAATAATAAAGGGCCTGATGATGTACGCCTCTCCGTGGTGGGCCTAGATAGGGGAATTATATTCCCTGAACCAAACGTGCATCACCCAGTTAGGGCTGACCCCCCGAAGCTGGTTTTTCACTGGGTTACAGACAGCCAAAAGGAAAGTATAGATTCACTTCCGCAGCCCAGTCAGCCTTCCTCCATTAGTTAGTGAAACCAACCATACTGGAGATGGGACTTGCCCCAGGGGAAGGCACAGAACCCGACCAAGAATATCTTGGTCAAACCACCTTAAAACCACACTACTTGAGTGTGCGAGAGCGACAGGATGGCCTGAAAATCCACGTATCAATGGCAAGTCGCTGAAGCTGCATTGGGACAATGCCATGCCCATGTATGCTTACCTGACGGAGCAAAATCTCCGAGATCAATTCCGGCGGCTTAAAAATCTCTTGCCCCGTGAGCCAGTTCAACCCACAACTGGTGCCCGTCAGGAACCTTTGCACGAACAGAATGCTCAAGTGGCAGGAGACCCAAAACTTCGAATGGACGTCCGTGTCAACCTCTTTCCTCTTGCTGATGGAAACTCTTCCGGCATAGAGCCAATTGGCCCCGAAATTTCAGACCCTCACTCTTCCTCTTCCCCAGTTGCAGATCTTTCTGAAAATCCTGTGTATATTTTGTTTCATTCTATTTATGATGAAATATCTGGCATTCCTTTAGAAAATCGGAGGCCTATTAAACAAACAAATGAATCTTTTCCCAAAAATGAAATTAATTTATTAAATGATATTATTTCTATGAAACTTTCATCGGACTGTTCATTACATGAAGTTAATTGTTGTGTCTATGCTGCCGCTCGAACCTTGGAGGAAATTCACACAGTTTCCAAAGAAAAAACATCCAATACTAAGAAGACTACACCAAAGAAAAACCGGTTTAAAGTAAAACTAACGGAAACTAGAAAATACATTTCCTGGATAGAGCTGTGCCTGAAGTTAAGATCATCAGGCAGTCCAATGTCAAAAGACAAAAGGCAATTTGGAGAAAATTAAAACTGAAATATAAAACAACGAAAGAAAAGATACTTCTCCAAATTGTCGATTCCCTTAAGGCAAAAATAAAGGTTTGGACTGAAAGAAAGAAAAAATGGGAAAAGAAAAATAAATTCATTAAACAAAATAAACTTTTTAGAAACAATGAAAAGCACTTCTACAGGCAACTGAAAGCAAAGGGTGATGGTGAACATGACAAACGGCCTCCCATGGATGCCAATGAAAGGTTCTGGAAACAGTTGTGGTCTGTACCCGGCAACTGTAACCTTGAGGCACCATGGGTCCGTGATTATGACCATGCAATGCATGAGAAGGTAACTAGGTCGTTTGTCTGTTACATCTCACCAGATTGCCTGAAAAGTGTTATAAAAAGTCCAAATCAAATACAGCTCCAGGGCCTGATGGCATTCGAAATCGGTATTGGAAACTGTTCCCCTGTGTCCAAACACCATTACTACACTGTTTCAATACTCTTGTGGGCACAGGTGATGTTCCTCCATGGTTCTGCAAGGTCGCACAATACTTCTTCCCAAGAAAGGAGACTTGACTGATCCCAAAAACTTCCGCCCTATCACATGTTTGAATACACAATACAAAATATTCACAGGGTGTTTGACAAACCTCGTGTCATCTTACTGCTCTTCCAATGATATAATTTACAGAGAGCAGAAGGGGGCAAGAAAGGGATGTTGGGGGTGCAAGGATCAACTTCTTGTACAGAAAATGATTTTGGAAGAGGCTAAAACATATCACCGCAACCTCTCCATGTGCTGGATTGACTACAAAAAAGCATATGACTCTGTCCCTCACGAATGGATTCTGAAGTCTCTTCATTGTATTGACCTCCCTGAGCGACTACTTGATTTACTCAAGTCTTTAATGAGTTGCTGGTCGACTCAACTTGAGATGTACTCGCTGGGGCAGGTGCAGACTTCGGAATCTATTCCAATCAGAAGGGGAATATTTCAGGGGGATTCCTTTAGTCCTTTGCTTTTTTGTCTGTCTTTAAATCCTTTGAGCTTTCTGCTCAATAAAGAGGAGGGTTACCATCCCGGACCTCCTCAGGACAGATCCCCAACACCTCTTACTCATCTCCTTTACATGGATGATATCGAGCTCCTTGCCAAAGGAGATACCAATTTGAAAGAGCAGGTTCTCCTTGTCGAGTCCTTTTCTAATGATATTGGCATGACATTTGGACTCGACAAATGTAATACTCTTCATTTGAAACGTGGCAAGGTAACTAATGATGGATCGGTCAAGTTACAAGGGGGAGGAGTTATTGAGCATTTTTGGAAGATCAGGCCTACACCTATCTTGGAATGCAAGTTCGAGATAAGCTCCAGAATGCCCAAATTCAAGACAAACTTCAGGCCGAGTATAAATCTCGTTTAAAGAAAATCTGGAGCTCAGAGCTAAATGCTCGAAACAAGGTCAAAGCCACCAATACTTTTGCTGTGCCAGTCCTCTCCTATTCCTTTGGAGTAGTTGACTGGACGAAACAAGATATCCAGAGTCTTGACCGCCTGACCAGAAGGATCATGTCTGATAACAGAGCCCATCACCCTCGTTCCTCCCTTAACCGTGTATATATGCCAATCAATTCTGTAGGTCGGGGTTTGATTAATGTGAAGGCTCTTCATGACAGAATTATATTGTGTACTTTTGCACATATTTATTTATCGGATGATCCTCTGGTGATGCATGTGAAGACTCATGATGAAAACAAGGAATTCCACAGCTATTTTAAGCGTGCCAAGGTTGTTGGACAGAATCTGAAATTTGAGGTTGACTTTGTTGAAGGCAATGTACTGCTGGACGGTACAGCGATGGGAGTAAACCAGGTGAAGTCCTTTACCAAGTCTGCCCAGAGTCGGTCTTTTGTGGATAAGCTTTCTGAGAAGCCATTGCATCGTGTGTACATGCAGTGTGTTGAACAGAATAGCAATCCCACCGACTCCTTCGCCTGGATGAAGTCGGCTGGTCTTAAATGTGAAACTGAGGGCTTCCTTTTTGCTGCTCAGGACCAGTCACTTCCCACTCGTAATCGCCTAAATGTGATTCTTAAAGAAAATATCAATATGAAATGTCGTCTTTGCAATGAATTTACAGAGACTGTCCAACACCTTGTCAGTGGATGACCTTCCTTGGCACAAACAGCATATCTTAAACGACATGATGGCATGCCTCGCTGCTTTTACTACCGTCTCCGACATGCCTGTGGCTTTGACTCCGAGGTCCATCCATGGTACGACCCTGAACATGTCCAGGGCGTCATGGAAAATGATGCTTTCAAACTTCTGTGGAATAGGCCCATATACAGCCTCAGAAGAATTCCAGCTAACAAACCTGATCTTGTCCTTTTTGATAAAGCCAATGAATTTATTTATATCATTGAATTTTCTGTCCCTTTTGACACCAATGTGATTGACAAGATCAAGGAAAAGCATGATAAATATGCGGACCTCGCCTTTGAAATGTCTCGCTTGCATCCCAAGTACACTGTCGTCAGGCTCCCCATTGTTCTCGGTGCCCTTGGTTTGGTACCTCCTGATCTCTTGGCGCAGATCAGGAGAGTGCCCGGGTTCTCCACCGGGAGTACAGCCCTTCTGACACTCTGGGTAATGCAGAAGGCTGCAGTGTTGGGGAGCCTTCATATTCTCCGGAAAGTTCTTGGTGGGTTCGACTAGGCGCTGTCTGGGCTGCGTGTAGAGGGGGCAAGGGCCCTGAGCTGATGATGAGCCTTACCAGCCTGACTGTGCCAGGATCATCCGAACCCTCTCTGCTGCATACAATTTTTAATCTGCAAATAATAATAATAATATTTATAAGTGCATTTATAATGCGCTAACCTCCATCCACTAGGTGAATGCTCATAGCGCTAACAAACGTCCACTGGTATGTACAAAGTTTGTAATTTGTAGATTAGGCAGTGTTGTAAAACTGTTTAAAAAGGTAGGTCTTTAAAGCCCTTTTGAAAGTGCTGAGATTTTCAATTCTTTTCAAGTCACAAGGCAGTTTATTCCACAATGTTGCTGCGTTGAAGGTAAAGGATCTTTTCCCAAACCATGTAAGCTTTGGATTTGGCACACAGAGGAGGCAAAGGTGTGCAGATCGTAGTTGTCGTGGTGGTTCATAGTGGTTTGTGAGTTCTGACAAATAGGCAGGAGCAGAATGGTGACAGCATTGATAAGCTAAGGACAGTATCTTGTACTCAATTCTTGCATGAACAGGAAGCCAGTGAAGCTGGATCAGAGCTGGAGTTATGTCGGATGATTTCTTGCACCTCATCACAATCCTGGCTGCTGTGTTTTCAACACTTTGCAACCTTTGGAGTTGCTCGTTTGAAATGTTGGCCAAGAGACTGTACCATCGAGTCGTAAAGCTTCGTGAAGACATGAAAAGGCATCCCTCCGAGGCACTTGAATTTGGCGATAAGTAAGCCTAAGGCTCTATTTGCTGGTTTTACAGCACACTTCACCATTGCGTTATAATTCCAATGTTCAGTCAGCATAATTCCCAGGTATTTGGTATTGTGAACAAACATTCAGTACCATTTCTCCCAGTTTAAAGGTGATGTCTGTCTGTGGCATTGAAGGCCCCCTGAAGTGGATAAACTTCGATTTGTCCATGTTAACCGACATCTTGTTCTTGTGACACCAATCGTGAAATACAGATAACATAAACTTCAAGTCATTCTCTGATTCGGGGATTAACACAATGTCGTCGGCATAGGCAATGATGGAGATAACCTCTTTTCCCACCCGAACGTCTCTTCCAAGTGCAGTAATATTTTCTAATAGATCATTGATGTACAGATTGAAAAGCAGAGGTGACAAGATACATCCTTGTTTAAGTCCTCAGTTGATACCAAACCACTCCGTCTTTGCCTGAACAACGAGGAGAGTTCTATGAATATACAACTTATTTAATATAATATGAGCGACGTTTCGGTGTAGCTACTAATACCGTTGTCAAGACTAGTAGACGGGCTTTGATCGGATCTTTATGGACCTTGATGGTGGCTCTGGCGTAGGGTGGCTTAGGATGTGGGACAGTGAGCTTCTTGTGCAGGGCTGGGCCGATTTCATTTTTGTCACAGGGGTTTTTCAGCAGGGCCTTGTGTTCTTTCTGGAGTTGATTGGTGGGATCTTTCTTGAGTTCTTTGTATGTTGATGTGTCGTTGAGGATTTTACTGGTGATCTTGTTGAAGTCTTCGGTGTTTATAATGATAGTTGCTCGGCCTTTGTCAGCTGGGGCTATGGTTATGGACTGATCCGATTTTAGTCGTTTGAGGGCTTTCCTTTCTGCTCTGTTTAGGTTGTCTTTTTGAGTGTTATTCGTTTGGAGGATGTTGGCTGTCTGGTGTCTTAGGTAGTCAACATTGCCGCCAGGTGCCAGTTGTTGTAGGCCTGTTTCAATGTTGGCAATGAATGTATCATTGTTCAGGCGGACCGTGGGGGAGAATTTCAGGCCTTTGGCTAGGACAGTGATATCATCTTCAGATAGATTCTTGCTGCTAAGGTTGATCACAGTTTTCTTTAGGTATTCTTTTCTAGGGGGAGAGGTTCGGGTGCTGGTTGATGGCCTGAGCTTGTTAAATTTTGTGATGTGGGTCTTCTTTGTTCGGGCGTCTAGATTCTGGTTTGCTTTTGTCTGGAGGTGGCGCATTTTGGAGTAGTTCTCAGGGTGGAGGATGTTCTGGAGTTGGTGTTGCTGTTCTATGATGTTGGTCAAGGTGAGAACCTTGGTCTTGCGATGGTGTTGAATTGTCTCTCGGACAAGGAGGCTGGATGCTTTGTTGAGGATGTTGCTGGATGCTGGTGAGTGGACTGGACTTGTTAGTCTAAGGCCTTTAGGGATGAGATGATTATCTCTGCATCTCATAAGGAAGGTGAGATGGTTAGATGAGTGGATGAACTTCTTCTCTAGGTTGTTGAGTTTGTTGATGCCTGGTTAACTCGCATAAAAAATTGTAATCCTGGTCATGGATATTATAGCCGAGAGAATCTTCCGCTGAACTCCGATTGTATTTAGTTTCTTTCATCGTTCTCCTCACCTAAAAAATCAAGTCGGTTACGTAACATCGGACGGCGAAGAGTTAAAGGGATACTGATCCAGAACAATTCCTCGGAACTGTTTTTGTTATGATTTCTCTCTTCCCCGTGAGTACCCAGATGATATCCCAGAATTCTTGACCGGGTTGCGATCTCTGCTGTAGTATATGTATGATATGTATATCCTGACATTGATCAACAAAGATGAAATCTGTTTTTTACTCATTAATATTTTGATCTTCATTTTTATGATAACAAATGAAGCCATTTTGAAGCATAGCCTCATCTGCCAGTGATAAAATATGTTAGGACTGCAAAAAAATGTGCGTCTTTATATTTTTGCCTTGTAATCCTAATTAATTGTTGGAACTTCATACAAACTCTACGATCTGTTTTTTAGTAAATTTTATAATATAATAATATCTAGACCTTTTATAGATTGCCGACGGGAATCATATTTCATACAGACGCGACCTGGTGTATGTTGTCTGTCTCATCGAGCTTCACGGTATAGGAATGAAATGGAATGATTTTGTTGGATGCTACAGAAAATAATTAAAATAAAATACAAATATCAAAACTAAAACCGACCAATAACATCAGGGCGTTACCTTGTTCGAGAAATGTATCCAACAATATCCACATAAAGGAACGACAGGCCATTCACTTGCAGCTGGCAAAGATGTTCCATGCAATGTTCCTTTTAACAGTTATAACAATATGCAAAACAAAATGTATAAATCGTTATAACTAGTGATGAAAAGGAACGGTTTTCTATGGATAGACAACTTCTTTACTGCAATCGATGCGACGCTGCGGCGTCATTGCTAGTGCTTGGTAACAGCGTGAGCAGCTGCACCGAAACGTCGCATTCATTGCAATAAAGAAGTTGTCTATTCATAAAAAGTCGTTCCTGTTTATCATCCCAGCTTCTACATGCCACTCAAAGAAGTAATAACTGGTCGCATCTGGTCACGTCACTGTTTCAGGTTTTCCACATTGGTGTATAGTCAAGTCAAGTTACCAGCACAACGTATTGATGGCAAGTTAATTCGCATTATTGTTAACGTACGATGATATTCATTCACGTGTGTTCAAATGGTACTTACTCAGAACAGTTCCCCTGTCTTATTGGAGTCTGCCAAGGGGGAAATCTCTCCCCAATGCTATTCTCACTATTTGTGAACGATTTGGAACCGTTTTCACTTTCTCAAAATTGCCCTAGTCTTTTCGTTGAGTCTAAGTCAGTCGACGGACTGTAAGATATGTCCATCGTGTTATTCGCGCTCATTTATGTCGAACACACAGTATTATTTACCTTCAACCATCAACATTTGCAAAAGGTGTTTGACGCGTTTACCCTTTATTGTAAAACATGGAAGTTAGCCATCAACTTTAGCACAAAAACAAATTCAAAACATTCTGTGGTACAATAAGAGATATGAGTAAACAGATACTAATATATGGTGCACACATCGAATGTGTCAAAGTTTGTAAGTATCTTGGAATCCATCTTACAAACCTCTATAAACGTCCTTTCAAATATTAAAACAGGTTTTGGCACACAACAAAGTTTAATCAAAGTGTGCAAAGAGCACTTCAATCTTCCCTGCTTCTGCTAAAACATTAAAATTGGGGCATACATACATATTCTGCTGGGGTATATCGTAAATCCTCCTATAAAGGACGGTTTAAAATAACATGATATTCATTATCAACACAGCAGTTTTCACACGTTGCGTATAGTCTCTCTTCCTCTTCATATCGCCCTGTCTCTAGTCTGGCAGGTGCTACTCCCAGTCTAAATTTCTATGTGTTCGGGGCATTTGTGATACTATGAAATGTTCCGCTTGATATCCACTTTTCTTCACAGTCGTATAGGTCGTTAGCTTCCCTGTACTGTCATTAGTCCTTAGCGTCCATGCACACCTATACCTGGTGAATAGCGTAGCGTAACCATGCCCGGTGGAACTGAATATGTAATAGCGTCAATTACAGGCTCTAAACAGTTTCTCAGCTTAAAATTCCAGTTTTTACACCAGGGGGTGGCACACTTATCAGACCATAGATATATCGTTTTGTTTAAACTGTTGTTGTCCATACACATATCTGCACCACTGTATTCGACCTGCAATCTTCTGAGACATGCTAACGGGTACCCATCATAGATTACCAAGCACTCCATCAGTTGGCGTATATTTACCAACACCTAAGTAAAACCTATATGCCAGGTTCTGAACATCGTTTATACACGTGTGACCCTGAAGAGCCCCGCAGCCGCTCGGTATGGGAGGTGAGGTGAAATGGGTTTAACGTTGCTCGCGCATGTATGTGCATGTGTGGCTGCTTGTACTGCCTTTACGGTAGATCTTCACATGTAAAAACACGCGCATTATTCTGCAAAGATGGTTTTCTAAACTGCACAATTGTTGACTGGTCACATGCTAACGGGTACATATATCTGCACCACTGTATTAGACCTGCAGTCTTCTGTGACATGCTAACGGGTACATATATCTGCACCACTGTATTAGACCTGCAATCTTCTGTGACATGCTAACGGGAACATATATCTGCACCACTGTATTAGACCTGCAATCTTCTATGACATGCTAACGGGTACATATATCAGCACCACTGTATTAGACCTGCAGTCTTCTGTGACATGCTAACGGGTACATATATCTGCACCACTGTATTAGACCTGCAATCCTCTGTGACATCCCAACGGGCACATATATCTGCACCACTGTATTCGACCTGCAATCTTCTCTGACATGCTAACGGGTACATATATCTGCACTACTGTATTAGACCTGCAATCTTCTATGACATGCTAACGGGTACATATATCTGCACTACTGTATTAGACCTGCAATCTTCTATGACATGCTAACGGGTACATATATCTGCACTACTGTATTAGACCTGCTATCTTCTGTGACATGCTAACGGGTACATATATCTGAACTACTGTATTAGACCTGCAGTCTTCTGTGACATGCTAACGGGTACATATATCTGCACCACTGTATTAGACCTGCAATCTTCTGTGACATGCTAACGGGTACATATATCTGCACCATTGTATTAGACCTGCAGTCTTCTGTGACATGCTAACGGGTACATATATCTGCACCACTGTATTAGACCTGCAATCTTCTATGACATGCTAACGGGTACATATATCTGCACTACTGTATTAGACCTGCAATCTTCTATGACATGCTAACGGGTACATATATCTGCACTACTGTATTAGACCTGCTATCTTCTGTGACATGCTAACGGGTACATATATCTGCACCACTGTATTAGACCTGCAGTCTTCTGTGACATGCTAACGGGTACATATATCTGCACCACTGTATTAGACCTGCAATCCTCTGTGACATGCTAACGGGTACATATATCTGCACCACTGTATTCGACCTGCAATCTTCTCTGACATGCTAACGGGTACATATATCTGCACTACTGTATTAGACCTGCAATCTTCTATGACATGCTAACGGGTACATATATCTGCACTACTGTATTAGACCTGCAATCTTCTATGACATGCTAACGGGTACATATATCTGCACTACTGTATTAGACCTGCAATCTTCTATGACATGCTAACGGGTACATATATCTGCACTACTGTATTAGACCTGCTATCTTCTGTGACATGCTAACGGGTACATATATCTGAACTACTGTATTAGACCTGCAGTCTTCTGTGACATGCTAACGGGTACATATATCTGCACCACTGTATTAGACCTGCAATCTTCTGTGACATGCTAACGGGTACATATATCTGCACCATTGTATTAGACCTGCAATCTTCTATGACATGCTAACGGGTACATATATCTGCACCATTGTATTAGACCTGCAGTCTTCTGTGACATGCTAACGGGTACATATATCTGCACCACTGTATTAGACCTGCAGTCTTCTATGACATGCTAACGGGTACCCATCATAGATTACCAAGCACTCCATCAGTTGGCGTATATTTACCAACACCTAAGTAAAACCTATATGCCAGGTTCTGAACATCGTTTATACACGTGTGGCCCTGAAGAGCCCCGCAGCCGCTCGGTATGGGAGGTGAGGTGAAATGGGTTTAACGTTGCTCGCGCATGTATGTGCATGTGTGGCTGCTTGTACTGCCTTTACGGTAGATCTTCACATGTAAAAACACGCGCATTATTCTGCAAAGATGGTTTTCTAAACTGCACAATTGTTGACTGTCAATCCAACAGTATATCTGCACCACTGTATTAGACCTGCAGTCTTCTATGACATGCTAACGGGTACCCATCATAGATTACCAAGCACTCCATCAGTTGGCGTATATTTACCAACACCTAAGTAAAACCTATATGCCAGGTTCTGAACATCGTTTATACACGTGTGACCCTGAAGAGCCCCGCAGCCGCTCGGTATGGGAGGTGAGGTGAAATGGGTTTAACGTTGCTCGCGCATGTATGTGCATGTGTGGCTGCTTGTACTGCCTTTACGGTAGATCTTCACATGTAAAAACACGCGCATTATTCTGCAAAGATGGTTTTCTAAAATGCACAATTGTTGACTGGTCACATGCTAACGGGTACATATATCTGCACCACTGTATCAGACCTGCAGTCTTCTGTGACTGCTAACGGGTACATATATCTGCACCACTGTATTAGACCTGCAATCTTCTGTGACATGCTAACGGGTACATATATCTGCACCACTGTATTCCACCTGCAATCTTCTGTGACATGCTAACGGGTACATATATCTGCACTACTGTATTAGACCTGCAATCTTCTCTGACATGCTAACGGGTTCATATATCTGCACTACTGTATTAGACCTGCAATCTTCTGTGACATGCTAACGGGCACATATATCTG